TTACAATTATCTGCAGATTTTCTGTGGTCAGATGGAAAAAGTGCAACAGATTGGCCCAGGTGGAGATTACTCCATCCACACAGTTAAGTGTAGATTGAGTAATCTATTGCACCTTTTCCATCTGACCACAGAAAATCTGCAGATAATGGTAAGGTGTATGGGCAGCTTAAGGCATTCTAGAAAGCTGCATAAATATTCTATGTTCATAATTGACACTACTTGCCTTTAGTGAATAGTAACAGTTGGGTCGCCTCTTGGCTCACCCCTCCCACCTCCTCCGATCTTTGCTCTGTTCAAAAGTTCTGGCCACCTGAAGAATTTGACACTTCTGAAAGTGTTGGATGCCTATGTCCCCCGCTGCTTGCTGTGATTACTTGTGCTGTGCCCTACGTCACTAAAGCAGCAAAGAGGAGACCAAGAATTTACCCAGAAGGTTGTCAGATATGAAGAGAGTGGGGATCGGAGAAACAGACAGTGGGAGAGGCGATTATAGATCCTTTTTGCTAAAAAAAAAAGTAACCCAATGACAAAGGTCACTCTAAAAATCTTTTTAATCCATCTATAATATTTTGAGCATAAACAGTGTGACAAAATTAGTTTAAAGATCAAAACCTCTGCCATGTATAGGTTAAGAGTATGCTTTTCGATTTTTTAAGCATTAAAGCATAGGGGGGAAAAAATGACACTGCCCAGAACCAAACCCTGCTATTAGGAACAAAGTCTTATTTGATAAGTCCTATTTTTTGTCAGGGCCAAACATTGCTGTAAAATATAAATGGTACAGCACTAGTTTTATGCTAAAATAATGTTTGCCCTCTAGTAGGATATAACAAAGCAGTATTATAATTCCATCTCATAGCACAGAAATTTCTACTGAGGACGTCTCAGGACAACCATATAACAGCCATTAAAGAGCAATAAACCCTCCTCAAAAATGTGTTAGAACAACTTAATTGTGACAAGCAAGGGAAATGAATATGGAAAGTTCAATATTATTAGATGGGGTATGTGGAAATTGAGAATGCTGAACGCAGGAGTGATTTAATGGAGACACAAATGTTTTATTAAGGACAGCGGCAGGAGGCAGAAGCCTCATATTTCCAAAACCAACACAAGTTCATGATCCATACTTCTATTCATTGCAGATGGGATGGGTAGAAAGTTAGGGAGGTCTTACAAGGGAAAGACAGGCAAAGTAGACACCGACTATGCAATCGACCTGTATAAAAGACAATTTAGAGGCAAGAAACAACTCCTAATTAGAAATGACTGAATTGACCACGCTTTAGGAAATAAATTACTCCAAAACAAATTTGTGGTTAAATAATGTCTCTGCTGAGCACTCCAAGTATCTAAAATGGTCACAAAATAATAACCTCTAACTACACTATATGAACAAAAAATTCACTTGACCAATGTATCTACTACTGTGGCCAAAAGTACAAAGTTGGACTGCACAAAGCCCAGACCCCAACACTATCGAACACCTTTGGGATGAACTGGTCTGCCAATTGCCACAGAAAAGCTTTCCCAGACTTATCAGTATTGCTATTGTGCATATAAATGTCGTACTGTGCAAATATGCTGTGCAAATGCAGAATCTCCCCTTCATAAATCCCATGAGCAAGTACCTAACTGAAAATAAACTACCAAAGCACATCGATAAGAAGGGATAAGAAGGATAAGTGTTTTACCCTGTTGCAATACTATTAGCTCAGCTGATGTTAATACAATTTCAATACAAAACTGCTAAAATAGTATTAAACTCACAAACGTTTGTCAATAATAATCCAGATCAAACAAATATACATTGCCAGCAATGTATTCCTTTACATTTTTTTGCCACGCACACTTGTCATGCTTCAGAACAGCCCCAATTCTCAATTCAGCTTCCCTGAACTTCCTGCCAGTACAAGATTACAAGGGGCAGCACAGTTTCAAGCAGCTGCCCATTCAGTAGCTTAGTGAAAGAGAAGAGGGAGAAGGAGCAAAAAGGGGGGAGAAGGAGAGTGGATAGCCCTGCTGTACCTGTGTGATTGGAGCCAAGGCTTACTAGCACACTCAAGGATAGCTCCATAGGACCCTGCAAGGGAAAGGAGCTGCCCTAAAGCAGGATATCAGGACCAGTGCTCAGGGAACCAGCTGATTCTGCAGGAAACTAAAAAACTTTTAAACATCAAGGAGCAGCATCCATTGTAAGTGATTTAGTCAGCAGACAGACAACTAACTAAACACATCACCACTCATATCTTTGAAACCGCATGATGTAAGCAACAAACGGGGGGGAGATCAATGAGGTCCCATTTAATGTATAGTTATTGCTTGCTGTATATATGTAGTACATCATTGATGTTGTTATACCGTTACTTTAATATTGATAATGCAGTGATGCTGTTCAATAGCAGTGAATTACAGGACTGCTTTTTTGGCAACCAAACGCTGGAAGGCCAGTACGTCAGCAGGTGATACAGCAGTTAACCTTTTCCAGTTTTTGTCACTCTGGGCAGTGGTTGGGGGGAGGATAATGCTATGATTAGTTGTGGTCTCTGTCAGTGGAAGACACTTGAGAGGTACAATTTAATCCTTTCGCTGCAATTTTTTATTACAAAACAGACATCTGTTAGAATAATTGCATGTGTGTTAAGGAGCCAAAGATGGCCAAAGTTACTACACTTATCTTCAGCTGTTGCAGTACTAGTGCAAAGTATTTTGGATGTATCATCAGGATGAATAAGTCTACGTTTGCAGAGTAAATGCCCATGATGATATCATGCTACCCCCAGGCTGCATGTATGTAACAATACCAGTTACAGTGCAGAGCATACATAAGTTTAAAGCTCTATGAAATATTCAGCAGGTATTTTTATAGATACCTAAATAAGCTAAAAGTGGTATTCTTGAGCGATGTCCAATTTCTTGCTGCTCCAAGAAGAGGAGTCTATATACATTCACCGTAAAAGAACCCCGTGGGGCATATTTATATCCACTATTTTCTCTTGTATCCTCCACTTGGCTACATACACTGCAGCCCACATTTTACGGGCCATTAATAAAATGTGGTGCTCGGTGTGGGGCCAGCAGTGCTCCATAAAAGTTCACTAGCAAGCAGTAGATATATGCAAAAACTTTTTTTTTTTTAAAACCTTTTCAAAACAGATTTAAAAAAACTTAGCTGCGTCTCGCCGCGCGCCCCCCATCCGAACACCTGAAGAGTCTCAGGTGGCCGCAAAGGATCTTGGGGTGGGCACACGCGCACTTCAGATGTTCAGCCGGGAGATGAGGAGAAACACAAGGTAAATCTATGGAGCAGCGCGTGCACCAGCACAGTCCAGCGCTGGAGGGACTGCTTAAAACTACACTAAAGAAGAAGATGATCGGATTAAGAGGCATGATTTAAGGTAAGTCCTTACACTAACATTGGGGGGGGGGTGTTAGCCTTTAATGCCACTTTAACGTGCACTGGCGCACACTAGTGATGAGTAAAAAATAATACAAAAAGTTAAAAATAACAGTTTCTACTTTTTAGTAGAAGGAGGCCATTGAGAGCAAACTCTTACTGGTACAACTATTAAAATATAGTACTAGTGATATGGCTGTAGATAATTAGAACAGGATCATCTATTGCTCTTACAATGAACCAGAGCTTGTGACCCATCTTAATGTGATGCATACCTTTAAGAACAGGCCTGTACACCAGTTGAATATTTCTGAATTACCTAAATTGCAAGGTCAGCTGGTAAACAGTAGGGTTATGAATTTTGAAAAATTAAAACTGGCAGGTGAGTAGTTACCACGGTGCTCTCTCTTTTACATTAGTTTTAGAAGATTTTCAATAAGAGAAAAACATACTACTGTGTTCATATGACAAATGACATCCATGTGTCTCCTTCCTTTTAACTACTGATTTGCAGCAGCTGAAGAATGTACAGAAGGGATGGCTTATGTGATCTCTCAACTGTCATTAAATCTTAACTGTGGGTTAACAATGTAGACAGCGTTTAGAAGAGGGTTCAGCTGTGCAATTTGTTAACAACCTGTCCACTGACATTTTTATTTATGTTTTTTTACATGAGGAAGCAAAAGCTGCCTCTGCAAGGATGGCCACCTCTACAGAGAGCCAGTACAGAACAAGGAATGGAAAATTCAGTAACATGGCGAACGATCAGCTGCATGGAGACCAACGGCAATAGTGGAGAGACTAGTCCTCGACCGTATCTGCCTTTTTTCGACACAGCTCCCAGTAACTATTTAATTCCTGTTCACAGCTTGCTTACTTCTGTCCTTGAGCACTCTTGAGGTGTGTTGGGAAAGGATTAGGCAGTATCATGGTCACCTGAGATCAGCTGTTCCCTATATAACGGCTACTACAGCTATTTCAAATGTTGCATAGGAAAAATACAAAAACACGTTCCGCAGACATCATGGCAGTTTGCGTCATGGCTCCTGAATGCTCCTTGTTAATTCCTAGCATTATACAAGCACTTACCACCAGTAAAAAAACGATTATAAATCTACCAACCAAACTATTAAATATAAAAAGGGATCCTGTACGCATACATCATTTCATTGCCTTCAAATATCTTAAAGTTATGAAACATACAATCCTAATTTAGAATGGGAGTTTATAGCAAAGCATATCTATGGTACAAAAAACATACAGTTAATAATATAGTATGTTGCTATAACTTACATTTATTGGAAGGTCCAGCGCATCCCATATAAAATGTGCACTAATCCTCATTCGTATTGAAATAATGCAACCAACATTCAATTATGTGTTGTGTTCACTAAACTTTAACCACAGATCCAGACCAGAGTGTATATTTTAAGAACATGTAATTTTTTTTCATGGTAACATAACAAGCCCAGGGCAGTAAAACCATAACATGCTATAAGCTGTAATTTCAAATGAATAAACTGTATATGCATTTTACACATTTAGCCATAAGCAGTCATGTGGTTGTTATTTCTCTACCCTGACCGGAATAAAATTGACTTACCTGCTATAACATCGTGTTTCTGGATGTTCACTTTGATATGTGCTGCTTCTGCTTAGAATCTCAAACGTCTGCGTGAAGCCCCATTACCAGGCCCTAGAGAAATAAAACAAAGCCACTGCTTTATTAAACACTCTAGCATTCTGCAGCATTTGTGCTTAATATCACTTTCAAGGGACCATGGTAACTGTGCTCCATCACACCAGATCTGTCAAGGCAGGAAAGCACATTACTTAAATGAGATACAGGATATTACAGAGCCACTGGCACAATATCAGTGTCTTTACATATGGACTAATTATACATTGGAGTGCAGCCATTTATCACTGAGCAATAAAAAAAAAAAAAGATATTAGACCATCAATAAGATTATCTTTTAAGTAACTGAAAATATGCAAGTATTGAGGGCACAAGAAAAGTTTTGATAAGTAAACAAACAAAACAAATCAAATTATCCATTTTCCTTCATTAAGTTTACTAGCCCTAGGATAGAGACAGTCAGGCCAAATCCTTAACATCAAATATACACGCCTGATCATGCTTCATAGTTCCACAACCCCCTACTGTGGCCTGTTTTATGTATGTTTACGCTCAATGCACAGTTAAACTGGCAATAAACTGTGCAAATTTCAGCCAGGTCTTGATGAACCGTCTGAAATCCATTCAGTGGGTGGCCCTGTCAGCACCCTTTGATCAGAAAATCAAAAAGGAGCTAGTCAGCCAATCAGCTGCTGTCACTATTAGGTGTTCTGACAGCCGCACACCCACCACTATCAGGGCTAGTTCACACAAGAACTGCGGGCGTCTGCAAGGCTGCAGCGTGATGTGTTTTGCCGCATTACCACGATTTTGACGCTTTTTTTAATAAATAAGTTATTTTTCAGGTGCAGTCCAGTGCGTTTACATATGTTTTTGATGCGTTCCATTGCGATCAGGTGCAGCTAAAATGGGGCAAGAGATATTTTTTCGGACTGCATCGGAATGGACTGCACTGGTGTAAACGGAGCACCAGAAATCCCATTGGAAAGCATTGTGACACGATTTTGATGCAGCTGCCAAACGGAACGGAATCCATCACAACTGCATCTGGTGTGAACTAACCCTTAGAGTATAATAACCCAGCAGGAGATTCGTCTATCCATGCGATTTTGCGTGAAAAGAGGACTTTGTTATAATTTTTCGCTCAGACTGCAGGTTGAATAAAAAAAATATTATCGTGTATTGTCAGATTTAGGATATGTCCCTAAAAGGTCAAGTTCTGTTTTAGATAAAAAGTCCACAGCCCCCACTCCCTATACCCCTAAGCTAGTTATCAGAAGTGTATACTGTACATGGTTAGATTTTCTTTTCTCCAACCTGCGGGTTGAACATCGTATATGGATGAATTTCCCACTGTCCCACTGGGACTTTTATCGAAACCAGACCTTGTCCTTGAACCTTCAACAGTAACTCCCAGAATTTAAAGGTAAACTCCAATCTGTGGGATTATTTTTCAGTAAGTAAGCTTATGCAACATCAACAGGCCTGAACTGAAGGCATATATGTTCAAAGCAAACAGAAGCTTCTCACTCATATATTTGGTGGGTGGCAAGGAAGATTTGTTGTTGGGTCACACCAAACTGTGTTTATTGGCTTTTTGTGTCTAGCCCTCAGTGGCAGGGCCATCCTTACCATCTTGTCTTGAATTGTATTGTGATTGTAAAGTCTTCCTTATATTGTAATGCGCTGCGCAAACTGTTGGCGCGATATAAATCCTGTATAATAATAATAGTAAAGTAGCCACCACTCCAAACTCACTCCCGTGATGGACTACAATCTCACGTTTAGTTTACAACTATGTATCGAGATTGTATTCCATCAAAAGGAGCGAGCTTTGAGCAGTGGCTACTTTACAACACACACAGACACCAAGGCAAACAAAAAGTAGCCACCCTCCAGAAGGAAGGACAGCATCAGCACCAATTCAGAGATGATTTAAGGATCTACAGCAGAGTGATACACAAATATGATACATTTTTGGTAATCGTTGAGGTACTTGAATACATTTTCAATACTTAACTCCTGAGTTCAGTGTCACTTCAGTACACTGCTTGGTCTGCTAAAATTGCTCGGGCCACTTTGTCAATCACTTACTGTTAGTAGAGATATGAGGATGTGAATTCAGCTTCACCTAGGCACCATGGGACAAGTCGCAGATGCAAGTTCAGCTTCCAAGCACAAATTAGGTAACTAGAAGCTTGGAAAGATTCCTAATATGTTAGTAACTATGCAGCAACTTCTTTCAGACACAGTAACTCTGCACAATATAATTCTATCTATATACACAACTTTCTTCCCCCCCAAACAATTAACTTTTTAAGGGTCTATTCACACAAGCAGCCTGACACAATGCTGATGCACTTTAACACAACACATTGCAAGGTTTCTTTTTTTTTTTATTTAATAGCACTTCACTGAACATTTCATTAAGTTCTATGAGAAGAGCATGGTGTGATGCAGGTGTATTGCATAGCACTGCGTTGCACTGAAAAAAAGGTACCGCATGCCATACTTTGTGTTGTGAACTGAGCCCATCTGGAACAACGCTTGCATGGCCAGCGCGGGCCCAACACGTTGGGTGTGAATAAGCCCTAATACTTTAGACTCAATTCACAAATTAACACACTACGTTGAGGATCCTTGTTTTAAAACGTTATTTTTAGCTTATAGAGTCCAATAACATTTAAAAAGTAATATGGCAAAAATTAGGGACTTTGTAGCCATAGTAATGCACTTGCAAGCACACAGTTGAGTACTGTCCATGATACTTTTTTTTTTTTTTTTTATTGTAAAAGTTTAGCAAAATAAAAAAACAAAACATTTTCCTCTAGCCGCCAAAATATAATCCAGCACTAGGGATAAGAAAGATAATCAAAGAGCTGCAACACATCATAACAGAAGATGAAATGCTAAAAAAAAAATGCCCCCTCTCCCAATGCTGGCCTTTAGGCAACCACCCAACCCAAGATATAAATTAATCAGCTGGGAAGGAAACAAAGGAAACAAAATCAATCAATAAAGTAAAACGCTGCAAACTGTGCAGTCGAATCAATCAAAATAAAAGTGTCATACACAAAAGGAACCTTCAATATCACAGGCTCATACAGTAATGTGTTGTATCTCATTCAATGTAACAAATGCTACAAGGATGATACACTAATCGAAACAGAACAGACAATTTTAAAAAAAGAACAAATCTACAGAACACAAGGAAGATGATCATGGCACACATGTAACAGATCATTTCCCTAAAGCAGAAAGTTCTATGGAAGACATTAATGTTTTGGTTTTCAAGGGGAATTTTAAGGCTTCATTAGCACTAGAGCTGCAGCTAACGATTATTTTCAAAATCGGTTAGCCGATTATTATGTTCGATTAATCGGTTAAAAAATAAAATGTTAAAAAATGGCTCCAGTGATGGGACTACTAGTTTGTATTGAGATTAAAGTCCATCGCAGGAGCAAGCTTGGAGCGGTGGAAGTAAAAAAGAAAAAAGTGTGTTGTGCAATATAGTGAAATGAAAAGTGTAAAATTATACAGCAATGAATGCAGAATGGCACCGGACATAGAGGACTACAAAACCCAGCAATAGTACATTATACAGCACAATGCAGAATACCGCCAGCTATAATGTACTATTGCTGGGTTTTGTAGTCCTCTATGGCTGGTGGTATTCTGCATTGCGCTGTATAATGTACTATTGCTGGGTTTTGTAGTCCTCTATGGCTGGTGGTATTCTGCATTGCGCTGTATAATGTACTATTGCTGGGTTTTGTAGTCCTCTATGGCTGGTGGTATCCTGCATTGCACCACTGTATAATGTATTATTGCTGGGATTTGTTGTACTCCTCTATAGCTGGTGGTATTCTGCATTGCGCTGTATAATGTATTATTGCTGGGATTTGTAGACCTCTATACAGCGCAATGCAGAATACCACCAGCTATATAGGAATACAACAAATCCCAGCAATACATTATACATGCAGTGTATAATGTATTGCCGGGATTTGTATTCCTCTATTGCTGATGGTACATTGCTCTGTATAATATACAGTACAGCAGAATGTACCATCAGCTATAGAGGAATACTAATCCCACTATCCCAGCAATACATTATAGAGCACCACGTGGGGGGAAAGTGCAGGCTTACCTGAGCAGTCTTCCAGCAACTTGTTTCTGAGATCGGGCCTGTCTATCGGCGGCTGTCATCCGCCCACACCTGCTCCTCCTTACTTCTTATCCCCGCATCCCTGTGCCGATTGTGGATGTGGGCGGGAGGGGAGCGTTAGGCGGGGAGGAAGTGCAGCGTGGATGTGGCTGGGCGGGTCTAGCAGCGGCGAGCGTGAGGTGGGGAGGAGGTGTGGCGCGCGTGTGTGGCCGTGAACAGGGCCAACCAATCGGAAGCCGATTAATCGATGATTGAAAAAGTTGACAACTTTCTCAATCATCGATTATAATCGATTATGTCGACTTGTTGTTGCAGCCCTAATTTGCAACATGTGATTTGGGATTCCTGCAGCAGGAATCCCAAAAATTCCCTGTTTAGCTGCAGCAACTCTAAACGGTCAAGCAAATGACCGGGTGACAGCAGCTGTATCCCTAAGTGGCAGTCCACACGTAATCATAAGTCCAGCAGACAACATGCACTTCTGTTGGGCCTCTCATACATTTTCTGCTTTGAAGAAGCCCAAAGTCTCATTTAAAAACACAGATCCACAAAACAAAACAGCCTACCAAGACTGAAAAAGTGTTACTGTAATCAATGTTGTGTGCAGCATGATAATTTTCAGGTGCGGACACCAAAACACACTCCGTAGATTCTGCCAAGCACAAAATCTGCCTACACAAAATGAGGGGGAGGGTAACTGCCATAGAATCCAAGGAACTGGAGATGTAGGTGTTAGAAAGGAAATAATCCAAGAAACATTTAACTTTTTCTGTGCCGACAGTAAAAATGAACACTTCAAGATTTGCAGCATACAAGCTCTTCATGAAAATAAACCGTTAACACACTGAACGGCGGGGTTCTGTCAGGTTATTGAGAGACTGGATG